CCCACCACCCAGAGCCAGGGCCGGAGCCTCTCCCCGGCGAAGGAGACGCGGGAGAAGACGAACAGGAGCCCCCCGTCCTCGGCGTCGAAAAACGCCACGGAGCCCCCTCCGCAGTCCAGGTGGACGCTGACCCTGCGGGGAAGCCACCTCAGGGCCACCAGGGTCACCTTGCGGGTGGTCAGAGCCCGCACCTGCCCCCCCCACTTCTCCAGACCCCAAATTCCGCCCTGGGGGCCGAGGCTGAGCCTCCCCTTCCTCGGCACCGACTCCCTCGCCACCCCCACGGCCCAGTCGCCACCGTCGCCCACGTCCACGTCCCAGCAGTGGCGCCCGGCCGCGAAGCGCTGCTGGCCCAGCACGAAGGGCCAGTAGTCAAAGCGCTCGGGGCTGGCCGGGAGCTCGCGGGCTCCGGCCCCGCGCCAGACGCTCTTGCCGTCCTCGGACAGGACGAGCTCGGGATGGGCCGTGTCGGGGTCCAGGGTCACGCTGGCTGTGGGGACAGAGCCGGGGGGGGTGGGGGGTGAGGGCCGGACCCCCCCCCTTTGGGCCACCTGGGCCACCGAACCCCCCCCCCCAAAAAAAAAAATCGGGAAAACCCGGCCAGGGCAGGGCGGGAACCGCACACGGGGGTCGCACAAGGCCGAGAATCTGCCCGAGGTTTTAGGGAAGTGCCGTCCTCGAAGCGGAAAAAGCCGAGTTTCAACCCAAAAAAAAATCCGAGGGAAAAGCGCGGCAATGGTGGAACAGAAATACAGAAAAAAAAAAAAAATGAAGGCCAGGGAGAGGGAGGGGAGAGGAAAATGAGCAGAGTCCGCAATGGGTTGAAATAAATAAAATTAATGAAAAACCTCCTTGGCTCACCCTGATTTTCGATTTTTTTTTTTTTTTTCACACCAGGAAAATCCCTTTTCCCTCCCTCTCCTCCACCTCCAGGCTCTCCCTGCGAGGTTTCCATTCCCAGTTTATATCCAGGACGGGAGAAGAGCAGCTCGGCTCATCCAGCTCTCCCAAAATAGGATTTAAATCTGATTTTGTTCCCCGTCTGGGTACCTTGGAGCTTCCTCAGGGTTTCCTTCAGGGCGCTGCTCCTCCACGAGAAGTGACAAACTCGCTCTTCCAGCCCCGGAGCCGCATCCAGGGGCAGCTGGAAAGTCACTTTCCCACACCTGGAATAAAAAATAAAATAAAATAAAATAAAAAATAAAACCAGCAAACCCCTCCCTTACACTTCCCAGAACAACCAGGGAGGTTTCAGGAGCCACCGGGAATGTTGGGATTAAATTTCCCCCCTTCCCTTGGAAATCCGGGAGACCGGAGGCCAAATTTCAGTGTTGGATGTTTCTTTCCAAATCTTATTTTTTTTTTATGAGGAAGGAAGGAATTTTTGGGGGAGGATTGGGCTGGAGAGAAGAGCCAAGAACTTTAAATCATTTTGGGATTTTGAGTCCAAAATCCCCGTGGATCAGCGCATCCCAGAAGCGATCAAGGACGAGCCTGGAGCGGCACCGGCGAGTTCCGAGCTCCGCCGACTTTTCCTCTTGGGAAAACTGAGGGAAAGGATTTCCAGGGAGGCCACAAACCTGCTGCTGGAGCTTTTCACATCCTGGGGGAAAGAGAGAGAGAGAGGAACAGCGTGAGATCCCCCAGATCGCAGCGAAGCGGATTATTCGGAAATGCAGAAAATTCGGAAATTCAATCCTCCCACGGGGATTTAATTCCCTTTTCCCACCTTTACGGGCTCGCAGCAGGAGGATTCCCTCACCGGCTGCTGACTCTTCTCTTCCTGCCCCTGTGCCGGGCCGCCGGGCTGGGAAACCTCGGGGGTTTTTTTCTGCCTCTTCTCCAGCTCATTTTTCAGATCTTCCAGCTGCGGGAGCCAGAGGGGCTCAGGATCCGCCCCCCCGGGAATCTCCAAATCCCAGCGGGGCCTTGAAATGGAAAACCCACGGAGAGCGGGGTGGGGAACGCGCCGAGGGGCGCGGGGAAAGGCGTTTTCACCTCCCGACCCCAACCCCGGCAGCTCCCTGCCCGAATTTGGCCGAATTCTTCCCAAAGCCGCGCGGTGCCGGCGCCTCCCCTCCCAAGGGAACGTCCCCGAGTGTCCCCAGGTGTCCCCGCAGGTGGCACCCACCAGGTCCTCCAGCTTCCCGCACTCCAGGGCCGCTCTCCTTCCTCGGGGAGCCGAATCCCGGCTGGAATTCCTTCCCGAGGGATCCAGACCCCTCTGGATCCTTCCTGTCCCCGTCCCGGCTGAATCCCGGCTGGGCTGAGCCTGCTCGTCAGGTCCCCCCTCCGCCTCTCCCGGTTTTTCCTCATCAGAATTCCAGGATTTTTTTCCCTCCAGCCGCCGCCCCGGGGAGCTGCCACCCCGCTCCTTTGGCACCAAAATCATCCGCCTCCCCAAAACCACCCCGAGACTCGGCGTGTCCGCGGATGGGGCAAATCCAAGGAAAAAAAAAAAAAGAGGGAAAAGCAAGACCAGAACCTCGAGGGACGGGAATTGGGGTCCGAGACCCTTCCGCCCCCATCCCTGCGCCCAAATCCGGGCTCTGAGCCCTCCGGGGCATTTTTCACCCCCTGCTCCCCCGCTGAGCTCCGCCGATAAATCAATCTTTATTTTTATGGAATTCCGGGGGCAGGATGCGGGGGGTGGATTTGGGGATCTCAGCTCCAGCCGCGTTTCCCACCGGGAAGCGCCGGGGAGGAGCCGTGGGAGCTGGGAGCGAACAGCCCCAAAAACGCTGGCGGGGAAGTTTGGGCGGAGGGGACGAGGGCGGAGACACCGGCACGGCCCCGGGGAACGGGGAAAGGCAGAGCCTGGAAAACCAGCCCGGGTGGGAAGCGCTTTGCACCTTCCCTGGGTGGGGATCAGGGACGGGGAGGGACCCGGAGGGGGCGACCACGGAGGGTCCCGGGGAGACCCGCGGGGGCTCCGTCACGGGGGCTCCACTCATCCCGGGCCTGCTATTCCGGGCCCGGCGCCGCTCCCGGTTCCTCTTCTCGGTTCCGGAATTAATAACGGGGCTCTCTCGGTGCTGCCGCTTCCTCTTTTGGGTTTCCTCGGAAGAAAAATCGCGCGTTTTTGAGGAAATCGGTGCCGGTGAAAGCGGCGAAAAAAACTCGAGCCAGAACTCGAGTCCTGCTCCTGCCCTTCCCGGTTCTCCCTGGGGTCGATCCTTTTTTTGGGGAATAAAAATGTGGAAAATCGGGTTCCGAGGGGGTTTGTGTCACTCCTCGGTGTCTGTGAAGATGCCCTCATCCCGCACGGGTTTCCCAAATTTCCCACCCTCAGAAATCCCGAGGAGCGCAATTCCCGGCACGAAAAGGGTGCAGCACAAAACCTTCTTTTATTGGAGACAAACGCCGGGAACGCGGACAGAGCTGGGGAGCGACCCCCAGACTGAGGAGTGAGGGGTTCAGGATACAAAAAAAAAAAAACAAAACCCCAAACAAAACCAAACTTTGGGAAAGAGAAACCGCGAGGATTCATCGCGCCGAGGGCACGGCAAGGCCAAAACCCCTCCCGCTGATCCGCGGCTCCTCCCGGGGCCGCTCCCGAGCTCCCCACGGACACACGGACGGACGGACGGACACGCGGCCTCAGGGGCAGATCCGCAGCGAGAAGCCGAAGCCCACCCAGTCCAGCGGGGACACCGCCTGCGCGCCCCCCGCCCGCTCCCCGCAGCGGGGGCTCCGCGCCACCTCCCGCAGCCGCGCCCCCAGCCCCAGCTTGAAGCAGGGCCGGAGCCTCTCGCCGTTGAAGGCGGCCCGGGTGTACTCCAGGATCGGCGCGTCCCCGCCGGCGCTGAAGAAAGCCACGCGGCGCCCCTCGTAGTCCAGGCAGACGCGGAGGCGGCGGGGCGGGGGCTGCGGGCCCACGCTGGCCCGGGGCGACGTGAGCGAGTGGAACGCCTCCAGCGCCCACACCCCCTCCTTGGGGGTCAGGCTCAGGGGGCCCCTCCTGCGGGACGACTCCCGGAGCACCCCCAGCGCCCACACCCCGCCCTGCCCCACCTCCACGTCCCAAAAGTGACGCCCCGAGGTGAAGCCGCCCCGAGCCAGCACGCAGGGCTCGAAGTCGAAGCGCTCGGGGTGGTCCGGGACGTCCCTGGGCACCAGGAGCCCGCGGGCTTCTTTGCCGTCCTCCGAGAGGTGCAGGTGCGGGTGCGCCGTGTGCGGGTCCAGGGTGAGCTCGGCTGCGGGGGGAGCGAGCGCTGGAGCGGGGAGAGGCTCCGGACCCCCCCGGAGCCGGGATCGGCCCCGTCCTCCCAAAATCCGGGGGCTCGGGGGGGGTCCCGGCAGAGCCCCCGGGCCGGGAGGAAAACGGGGAAAAGGAGGGGAGAGGAACCGGGAAGGAAAAACCGGGCTGGGACTAAACCCCAAAGTCCCTCCCAACCCAATCCCGTCCCTGGATCGGACAGCGGGGAATTCCCGGGGAAAGAGAAGCACAAATCCTATTTTTGGGAGATTTGGGGCGCCCTGGAATTCCCGGGAAAAGGAAGCACAAATGCACTTTTTTGGGATATTTGGGGCGCCCTGGAATTCCCGGGGAAAGGAAGCGCAAATTCACTTTTTTGGGATATTTGGGGCAGCCCTGGAATTCCCGGGAAAAGGAAGCACAAATGTTATTTTTTTGGATATTTGGGGCGCCCTGGAATTCCCGGGGAAAGGGGAGCACAAATTCACTTTTTTGGGATATTTGGGCAGCCCTGGAATTCCCGGGAAAAGGAAGCACAAATTCACTTTTTTGGGAGATTTGGGGCGCCCTGGAATTCCCGGGGAAAGGGGAGCACAAATGTTATTTTTTTGGATATTTGGGGCGCCCTGGAATTCCCGGGA